ACACACACACACACACACACACACACACACACACACACACACACACACAGAGAGAGAGAAGAGAGAGAGAGAGGAGAGAGAGAGAGAGTAATTCTAAAAGGGACTAATGTTGATGATTAGATTCAGTTCTCATTCCTTCACTCTCCAGAGGCTGAAGTGGTACGTGGCATTTGTTCCGTGCTGGGCTGCGATGCACGTTCCACGGAAGTGTAATCACTATCTTCGTAGATGAAAACGAGCGGAGGGCCCCCACCCAGGGCCGGTCTAGAGGGTTAGAGCAGGATTATCTCAGGAAGGTTGTCGACCTGGGTGGAGCCGCGCCGTTTTTCTCGGGGCTTGGGCTTTGGATTTATAACATAAGCTTTGAGGAGACAGAAAAAGGTGTGTGTGTGTGTGGGGGGGGGAGTGTCTCACAGAAGCTGAGAGCTGGTTACTGATATGTTCCCTGGAGCAGGATTCTTCCCCAAGTACCCTAAACATTTGCAGAAGGGAAATTTTATATCTATATATTTAGCCTGTGTGTGCTTTTTTTTCCCCCCTTTTTACTTATAACTGTTTCGTCCTGCATTAAACATACGGCATTTCCCCTGGGAATAACATTTTAATCAAAACGGTCTCAAATGCAGGCCACGAGAAGAGGATGAAAATTGATCCACCGTGACAGCTTCCAGTGTAACGTGTAATACAGGTTTATGTGGTATTTAGGGGTTGTAAAACATAGCCTTTTGGTGTTCGCTCACTACGTTATACTTTTCTCCCAGGAGACACGCAGTTCTGGTTGTCATCCACCCCCTCGCTTTCTGAGTCCTGGCAGCCCCGCTCCCTGGACATTGAAGTTGCCGCTTACGTGCTGCTCTCGCACCTGCAGCACCGTATTTCTGAGGGAATCCCGGTGATGAAGTGGCTCAGCAGGCAAAGGAATAGCCTGGGAGGTTTTGTATCCACGCAGGTGAGAGATGAGAGGTTTTTCTTTCTTTTTTTGTTTTTTTTTTTTCCAGGAAAAATTTATTAAAGATTTTAAAGATTTTTTTAAATTTTTAAAATTTATTAAAGATATTAAAGATTTTTTTTTTAGTATCTATGAAGATCATAGCCGCTTTTTCGTAAAGTTGCTTAGATTACAAGTTCAGTAAATTAGATGAAAGGCTTAAGGCGGTGACTTTCATACTTTTCTTATCTGAGCCTCATATCTGGTGTGTACAGGGAATACTTGGTTCCTCATCTGTATTAGCTGTTTTGTGTTTGGGGCAGCTCACTTAAGCGTGTTGCTCAGGTCTGTGTTGTAGTAGCAGTTTGTGCAGCCTCTTATGTAATCCCAGCAAGACGCCCACAGAGGATCGAGGGAGAAACCTCCTCCCCGGGAGGGTGGAACACCGTCCAGCAGGTTCCCAAACGTTGCTGAATGTTTTCTTTAGAGATCTTCTTGGACACTCCCCCCACCAAAAAAAAAAAAAAAAAAAAAAATGCAATATCGTTTTGCTTTTCTCAACAGGATACTGTTGTGGCCTTGAAGGCGCTATCTGAATTTTCAGCCCTGGTGCACATGGAAAATACAGACATACAAGTGACTGTCACGGGGCCCAGCACACCGCGACCTGTATACTTCCGGATTGACACACAGAACTGCTTCCTCCTACAGACGGCAGAGGTGGGGAGAGGTCATTTTAAACTCTGCGTAGATGGTTCTTTATTCCTGGGAAACTACTTTAATTTTTGTCTCCTGACTTCAATCCAGAGTTGTTCCCAGAGCCCCAGAGAAAGACGGAGATGGGTTGTCCCCCACCTTTTGACTGGACTTTTGGAACTAAGGAAGGGTGTAAGGGATGGGTCCTTTGAAAGAAAGATGGGCAGAAAAGAAGAAAACCTGCATACCTTCACTGTGGGAAGGAGTGATTCCCACTGAGTCCCAAACTTTACATAGATACTGTGCTAGGTTTGAGTAGATATGCTACTGCATTTATGCCTCAGGCCAAGCATGCTTTCCACAATTTTGACATATGTGAAACCTGGCCAAAAAGCCATATGGCAGAAAAGTAGATCTGGGATTTAACTCCGTTAGTTCATATAATTATTCTTTTCAGCTACACCTCTTGTTCTCTTGGAAGAAATGAGGTTCAGGAGTAGAATTATTATTATTATTTTTTTTTTTGGGGGGGGAGACAGGGTTTTACTGTATAGCTCTGGCTGTCCAGTGACTCACTCTGTAGATCAGGCTAGCCTTGAATTGACAGAGATCCACATGTCTCTGCCTCCCAAATACTGGGATTAAAAATGTGCACCATAACCACGCAGCATTATTATTCTTATTCTTATTATTACGTTTTCCCCTCTTTTTGAGGGAAGGTTTTGCCAGCTGGCCCAGGGCAGCATAGAAATTACTATGTAGTTCAGGATGGGCTTTATCTCATAATTCTTTTTACCTCTGCCTCGCGGTGCTGGGATTACAGGCTCGAAAATCTTACCTTAAAATCAATAGAAGATTATGCTAAGCGATAAGTGAAGAAGAGGAGTAATGACACAGGGAAAGAAGGATGAAGCCAGTGATTATGTACTATTACATTCATGGTCAGCCCCAATGATGGGAGGTTAGGGGAGACGTGTTTCTTCAGCTCCTACAGGAGGGCAGCCTGGTCAGGAGCACTGAAGTGCCTCCCCAAAGGCTTGGGGTGAGGGAGCCTGGAGAGCTTGGGGAGCACAATTCACCCAGGTTTCTGGTTGATGCAGAGCTCCCAGCTTTCTCCAGCACTACCTCTGCCTCAAGAATGGGATACAGCACTGAACTTCTGTGCTACCGGGAAAGACTTGTTGGTTGAAAATTTGCCTCCCTCACTTTCTCTCTCTCACCTTTCTTCAGCTTGCTGCAGAAGAGCTCACTGTAGTGAATATTTCTGCACATGGTTTGGGATTTGCTATATGTCAGGTATGTATATGTGATGACTGATTACTTTTTGCAGTTAGGTATGACTTCAGGTTACAATTCTTTGCGCAGTCTTTAACTTAGATAGCTTGTGTGAAATTCTTTTTTTGGATATAATTTTTGTTTATTACAATTTATTCACTTTGTATCCCAGCTGTAGCCCCACCCTCATCCCCACCCAATCCCGCCCTCTCTCCCTTCCTCATCTTCTCCCATGCCCCTTCCCCAGTTCACTGATAGGTGAGGACCTCCTCCCCTTCCATATGACCCTAGCCTATCAGGTCTTATCAGGACTGTCCTTCATAGTCTTCTTCTGTGGCCTGGTAATGCTACTTCCCCCCTCCCCCTCAGAGGGAGGTGATCAAAGGCAACCACTGAGTTCATGTCAGAGATAGCCCCTGTTCCCCTTACTAGGAAGCCCATATGGAGTCTGAGCTGTCACTGTCACGGACTACATCTGTGCAGAGGTTCTAAGTTATCTTCGTGAATGATTTTTGTTTGGAGTATCAGTTCCAGAAAGGACACATAGCCCAGATTTTTTGGTTCTGTTGCTCTCCCTGTGGAGCTCCTGTCCTCTCCAGGTCTTTCTATCTCCTCCTCCTTTCATTAGATTCCCTGAACTCTGGCCAAAGTTTGGCTATAAGTCTCAGCATCCACTTTAATGCCTTGCTGGGTAGAGTCTTCAGAGGCCCTCTGTTAGATAGTTCACTGGATAAAGGCGCTCGCGGCCAAGCCTGAGTTTGATCCATGGGAACCACATGGTGGAAGGAGAGAACCTATTCTCTTAAGTTGCCCTTTGACCTACACACATATGCCATGGCATACATACCCCCTTTACACCAAATGCATGAAAATTTAACAAAAATAACATAAAATTCATAATGATTTACTTCTGTGACTTAGGCATGATATGTATTTTTCTTTAATGAGAAGTACTGGAAAAGTTACTAACTAGAGACTAGACCATAATTATTTGTATTGACAGTCTACTTGAAAAACCTCTCTTAGAGATTGCTTGCTTTTTGAAGTTACTGTTGAAATCCTCCAGTGTGATTCATGTGAAACCCTCTTCCTGTGAGACATGGGCTTACTATGTAGACACAGTCAGCTGTATACTCAAATTATAGCCTGTAAAAAAAATGAGCCTTTACATCCACGGGGTCCGGGGTGGCTGAGATGGGACAGTAGCATTGGAGAAAAAGAGGGTCCAAAGGCTTTTGCTCTAGGTCTATCAGGGCTAGGAGCTGGTTGCTTTTAGCATTTCTCTCTGTACTTTAACTCTCAAGCTTTCTGGCTATTAGGGGCCCTGGGGCCTCAGGTCACGGCAAGAAACTGAACTTTCTTAACTCTTAACTATTAGCTCATGGCTCTGGGTGCTGTACTTTAACTCTTAATCTTTCAGGCTGGTAGCCTTGCTATTGGGATTGCTGGTTCAGTGAGAAGAAAGAAAGGAGAAAACCATACATTCACAGAAACATAAGGAGCTCCCACAGATCGTTCATAAACAAACATAAAGTCATAGACAGTCAGACAGACAGACACATATTTAGTGGATGGTGAATGGAGGAAATCTTCAATCAACCAACAACTTTATTTCTGTCCTGGGTTTTTATATGATCTATGAAAAAATTACCTCATTCAAAAATAGATACAATCGTTAGGTAAAAAGGGAGTTAGAGTAGGACTATAGATTCTAAGTTTGTTCATTAGAACGATATTTAATGAGATACCTTTAATCATTATAAATTTAAAGCAGTGGCTTTATCTATAGTCTCATTATGAGTTCCAAGCAGAAGTTTTATGTTTTTCTTATTTCAAATGTACATTGTGTTCAAAGCAAGAGCTTTTTATACTAAGGTTTTTCCAAGAAACGGGTGTCTGTTTGTCTTGCATAGATAACTATTCTTTGTTTCTGTATTCATATGGTCTTTCTTGTCGCAGTGTAATCCTGGGCCTTATCCTTGGACTAAACCTAGAATGAATGTATTTCCTTGAGTATTTATTTGTTTCAATCTTGTTTTCCTTCTTGGTGTAATTCACATGAAGCTTCATTGAGCTCCTAACAGCTTTTGCTACCCTGCAGGAGGGTTTTAAAATTTACTTGAATCAATTCAGGAATTGCTATCAGGAATTATAAAATCATCTGTAGGAAATCTGCCTCACAGAGAGTCACAACTATGAAGGAATAATATGCTCTAAGACAGTGAGGGCCTATCCATGGTCAGTTGCACCACGCCAGGCATATGAGACAAGCATTGAAGGCAATATAGCAACAACAAGCAGCACTGAGGCAAAATCCCTTAGGGCTCTGCCTGAAACAGGGGTATATTCATTCAGTCAGACAGGTACAAACGAGTGGGCTGCCTTCAGGAAGCTCATTGCTTGCTTTTGTCAATCCAGCATGCAACTGCTCCCAGCAATAGCCCAGGCTGGTCTCAAACTTGTGATCCTCCTGCCTCAGTCTCCCAGGTGCTGGGATTTCAGACGCATGCCACCTTGCCTGGTTTGTACATGTTCGTTGTATTTGAAAGGTACAGTTCAAAAATTATGATGTTGAGGGGTACGGAGATGGTTTAGTGGTAAAGGGCAAACGCTGCTCTTCCAAAGAGCTAATTTCTAGCATCCATGTCAGGTAGCTCACAGTTGCCTATAACTCCAGCTCTACAGGGATCTTACCCTTCTGTCCTCTGTGTGTATGACACACACACACACCTACACACACACACATACACACACACACACACACACACACAGAGTCAAAATTTAAAATGAAACTAAAAACACATGTTTGTAGTTGATAGAATTTGTGCTATGATGATCTGATAACAAATATGTATTTTAATTATAAATTCTTAATATTTATCTAAGAATATGAAGGTCAGTATGGCTTTATAAGTTGTCTTGATAGACAATGTGTTTCTTTTTTTAAATTTTTTAATTTTTTATTAATTACACTTTATTCATTTTGTATCCCCCCATAAGTCCCTCCCTCCTCCCCTCCCGATACCACCCTCCCTCCCCTTTCTGCATGCATGCCACTCCCCAAGTCCACTGATAGGGGAGGTTCTCCTCTTCTTTCTGATCTTAGTCTATCAGTTCTCATCAAAAGTGGCTGCATTGTCCTCTACTGTGGCCTGGTAAGGCTGCTCCCCCCTCAGGGGGAAGTGATCAACGAGCAGGCCAATCAGATTATGTCAGAGGCAGTCCCTCTTCCCATTACTATGTAACCCACTTGGACTCTGAACTGCCATGGGCTATACCTGTGCAGGGGTTCCAGGTCATCTCCACGAATAGTCCTTGGTTGGAGTATGATTTTCTGGGAAGTTCCCTGTGTTCAAATTATCTTGTTCTGTTGCTCTCCTTGTGGAGTTCCCGTCCCCTCCAGCTCTTACTATTTCCCACTTCTTACATGTGTTTCTTTAAGGTAAAACCTCATAAAATAATAAGCTCAAAAATTAGAGCATGATTATGTTTGATGCCATGATATAGGGTGAAAATGCTAATAAACCTACTTTTGATGGTACAGTAAGCGCTGCAATTAAAGGGGAATAGTATGAAAAGTACTAACTGGAGTAATCATACTAAAGAAATATACATATCATGGAACCTGTAAAAATAATCTTTATGGAAACCCAGGAGAATAAGTGATAGGGCCAAAATGACTACGTGCTCGGGTGAAACAAACCAAGCAAGCACCTAGAAGGTCATAAAACAGCTGCTAGAGAGAAAAGCCATTTTTAGAGCCTATATTAATTATGTTAAGCAGCAGGTTTTAGTTTGGCGTTTTCATACAAACACACAACATATTTTGTTCACATTCACACTCTTAGTGACCCACACTTTTCCCGCGCACTGTTTCTTCCAGTTGTTTCCCTTTTTCAGAATAGTTCCAAAAGGTACTTTTTAAAAATACTGGTACAGTGGGCTGGAGGGATGGATCAGCAGTTAAAATCACTGACTGTTCTTCCAGAGAACTCAGGTTCAGTTCCCAGCACCCACATGGCAGCTCACCCACCGTCTGTGCCTCTAGTTCCAAGGGATTTGACACCTTTACACACACACACACACACACACACACACACACACACACACACACGCACACACAAACACGTGTGCGTGTGTGTGTGTGTGCGCATGTGTGATAAAAGAAATAAATTATAAAAAAATACTGGTGCCGTTACTTCTATTGAGAGACTAGCATCTCCATTTGCTTCCTGTTACTGTGGTAAAATACTGTAGCCACAAGCAACTTGGGTTTGTTTGGCTTAATCTCAGTTACAGACCGTCAGTGAGGAAAGGCAGAACAGGAACATGGAGGCAGGAACAGAAGCCATGGAGGAGTTCTGTTCACTGGCTTTCACCCTTGGCTTCGTCAGCTTGCTTTTTTAAATGATCCAGGACCACTTGCCCATGTTAACTGAGCCCTCGTACAGCAATAATTAATAAAAAAAATGCCCCTCAGACATGGCACTGGCCAGTCTAACTTGAGGAGGCAATTTCTCAGCTGAGAGTCCCTCTTTCCGGATGTCTACATTTGTGCCAGACTGTAAAATTAAACTAATCGGGTGTCTATATTGCTCAACAGGGAAGACAACTTTGTCAACAGATATAATTTGGAAACTGTCATATAATTCTTAAGAGCTTTGGAAGGGATTATTCATTTTAGGTGTGTATGCATGCGTATGTGCATGCATGCGTGTGTGTGTGTGTGTGTGTGTGTGTGTCTGCGTGCGTGTTGGTGTGCATCTTTTAAAAAACCAAGAAAAAACAATTATAATGAAGTGGAATGTTTTCCAGTGAGAAGTAAAGAAAAATAGGAAATGATTTATGTGGTTCTTTGCAAAGAACCATGGGAGACTCTTATTCCCAAGACTGCTGTTTGATGCAAAAAGTTAATCCAAAAGTAACTATGCAGCATGCTTTAGACAAAACTGGAAACTTGATACTCTTAAATCACTACATTTGTTGGAATTTCTGCATGGGTTGGAAACTGTTTTTGATCAGTGACAAACAGATAAGTCATTGACACCAAGTAATGGGTGCTTGAGGTTTGAAGAACACTGGTAAATATGGACCTTTTGGTCCGAATGCTCACTGGTCTGTTGTCTGTATCAAAATTCAGAAGACAAGGGAGAGGGACTAATAGGCATTTCTCGCAAAAGAGGGAAAATGTAAAAATATTAATCACCCAGAAATATTTTTATAAGTGGTCTGGAAAGAGTGCAAAGAGAGCAGCCAGGTTTGTAGTAAATGTTACCTACTTGGGCACTAAAAGTCTAAGCAATGATGAATGAGTTCTTTTGAAGCTGTGTGAGTGGATGGTCGAGCTTTACTGTCAGCCGACTATAAACGCCAATCCTTATAGACAGACGTTAATCATTGCCCTAGTGACAAGCCTCGTCATCCTGTCTGATGACACCGCTCCCTAAAGGAGCAGCAGCATGCCATGGAAAGGCTGAAGACAACAGACAACTTTTAGACGTTAGAAAACTGCTCTTCAACGGCTCCAGGAATAATCTTAGTTACTATTATACGTAGTAAATTAATTGTTGTAGTTTAAAAAAAAAAGAATTAGAAAATGTCCAGAGTAACACATTCAGAAGGAACAAGGAAGATGATGCAAATTTGTATTGTGACAAAACAGAAAAATTAGGATTCCTAGGAGGCTTAACAAGAGTTTTTAAAGTGTTTAAATCCAAGAAGGATACCAGATGTTTGCTTCTGAGATGTATGTATGTTTACATATATGTTTCAAGTAGAATAAAAGAGAAATGCAGCATTACATGGTAACATTAAATTCTACGAAATCAGTTCCAAAATAAGTGGATGAATTAAATATTTAAAAGTTTGGGATGAGTTTGGGATGAGGCAGCGTAGGAAAATTTGAGCACCTTCCTAAGCTTCAGATTTAGGGGGCTTTAAGAAAGATACCGGTCCTTGCATTACTCCAGTGTTCCCATGGAGACTTCCATGTTAGAGATAGCACAGAAGATGTGCTGAAAAAGACTCAGTTGGCCTAAAATTTATCACTTATTTTATCATCTTTGAAATTTGCTTTATGAAGAAAAAGATCTTAGTAGTTAGACAGGTATTTTAATTTGCTCTGTCTTTTTTTTTTAATTCTTTATTAATTACACTTTATTCACTTTGTATTCCCCCTGTGGTTCCCTCCCTCCTCCGGTCCCAATCCCTCCTTTCCTCCACCCTCTGCATGCATGCCCCTCCCCAAGTCCACTGATATGAGAGGTCCTCCTCTCCTTCCTTCTGATCCTAGTCTATCAGGTCTCATCAGGACTGGCTGCATTGTCTTCTTCTGTGGACTGGTTAGGCTGCTTCCCTCTCAGGGGGAGGTAATTAAAGAGCAAGCCAATCAGTTCATGTCAGAAGCAGTCCCTGTTCCCATTACAATGGAACCCACTTGGACCCTAAACTGCCATGGGCTACATCTGTGCAGGGGTCTTAGGTTATCTCCATGCATAGTCCTTGGTTGGAATAGCAGTCTCAGGAAAGACCCCTGTGCTCAGATTTTTTGGTTCTGTTGCTCTCCTTGTGGAGTTCCTGTCCTCTCCAGATCTTAATTTGCTCTGTCTTACTGGGAGTTTCTGAGCTTCCATTTTGGTAGGAAAGCTTACAAATTAGTAAATTAATTATAAATCAGTAAATGCTTTCAAGAAAGTTGTCTGTAGCTTTCCTTTTTTCCTCAAGGGAATTCTTTGAGGAAACAATCAAAAAACATTATCCCCAGCATTCTGACATTTTTTTGAGGATATTACCTAATAATTTTCTCAATAAAAATGACAAACATTATTAAGCACATTGGCTAATGATGTCTTCTTAGCTGGTACTTTTTTTTAAAGTTTGAAAATTATGATATTTACTGGTTTTATTACCAAAAGAATAATTTCCTACTATTTAGATTATTGAAAACATCTTACTGTTAATTTACCACGTATGCTAATTTTCAAAAATAGTGTTTTTGATGAAGGATGAGAGCTACGCTTCTTTGTGGGTATAAAGACAAATCTTTACAATGTAGTTAAGAATCTTGGTGGTTTAATAAAGTGGTGGCTGTTAATTCTTGTCCAAGATCCATAATTTTACCTATGCTAATTTGTAAAAATTTATTGCAGCTTAATGTTTTTTATAATGTGAAAGGTTCCCGTTCTTTGAGAAGTTTGAGGTCTATCCAAGAAAAAGAAGCTTTTGATTTAGATGTTAATGTGAAAGACAAGGATGATGTCGATCATGTGGATTTGAATGTGTGCACAAGGTAGGTGTCTGTTTAACAGCTCCTAGAAGAGAATACATCTGAAGGCTTAATTTTTATGGTTATCAAATGTGGTCAATTCAGGAGTTACTTTGAAGAGATGTCTCTTATCACCACTCCACAGATTCCAGACTAGAAGAACAGGTAATTACGTTTAAGCCAATCTTAGGCTAAAAATGTACACAAGTTTTCTTGGGATAGAAAAAATCAATTTCTTAAAATTATTTTATGTTATTGAGGGAAGCTGAGAAAGCCCTGAGTGAACATTGTTGACACGGCATTGCCGTGTCAGTGACTGATTCCTCAACCCATGGGAATGGCTAAGCCTCTTCTGTTTTAAGGATAAATGTTGGCAGTGTTTTTTTTTTAATTTAAATTTTTTTAATATTAATTACAGTTTATTTACTTTGTATCCCAGCTGTAGCCCCCTCCCTCATTCCTTCCCAATCCCACTCTCCCTCCCTCATCTCCTCCCATGCCTCTCTCCAAGTCCACTGATAGGGGAGGACCTCCTCCCCTTCCCTCTGACCCTAGCCTATCAGGTCTCATCAGGACTGTCTTTCTCTGGGGCCTTGCAAGGCTGTTCCCTGCTCAGGAGGAGGTGATCAAAGAGCCAGCAGCTGAGTTCATGTCAGAGACAGTCCCTGCTCCCCTTACTAAGGAACCCACTTGGATACTGAGCTGCTATGGGCTACATTTGAGCAGGGATTCTATCTCCATGCATGGTCCTTGGTCGTAGTATCAGTCTCAGAAAAGATCCCTGTGCCCAGATTGTTTTAGTTCTGTTGCTATCCTTGTGGAGCTCCTGTTCTCTCCAGGTCTTTTTGTCTCCTCCTTTTTTCATAAGATTCCCTACACTCTGCCCAAAGTTTGGTTATGAGTCTCAGCATCTGCTTTGATACACTGCTGGGTAGAGTCTTTCAGAGGCTCTCTGTGGTAGGCTCCTGTCCTGTTCCCTGTGTTCTCCCTCTACAGATATCCACCCCATTTGTCTTTCTAATGAGGATTGATCAAAACAAAACAAAACAAAATAAAACAAAACACAAGGCTTGTGAGATTTAACCATGTCATTCTCTGCAGTGATAATTTGTTCAACTTCCTTACTGAATAGTGTCTAGTGTATCAATATACTAGTATTTATCTCTTCCCTGTTTTGTGAGTACTGAGTTCATCTGAGGTTTGAGCTATTACCAGAAATGCTGCAAGGACCATTCCTTTATAAACCTCACCATATACATGTGGTTTACTTTAATATCAATTGAAATTATGGTTAATGTTTATTTTCAAAAGTGCTTTGTCAGATTTATCCATTCATCGAATTTTATCATCCTGGTTGCTGATCTGTAAATAATTTACTATTTTTGTGCCACACACTTATCCAAATAGTCAATGATATTTGAAATTCTTCCTTTCAAATGTTTCAATATTTTGTTACTTATTTTCTTTCTGGAATAATACCACCATTTCCAACACAGGGCTGAATGTAAATTTCAAAGCTTCAAGTTCCACACAATAAACATTCAGCACGTTTTTTTAGAAGAGTTATTTGAGGAAAGTTTCAAGGAAGAATTATAGTATCATTTTAGCATAATATCAATATATAAGAGCACATTTACATATGCCAAATTATTTATTGCATCAGATATTTTTATATATCTTGAGGTCATTATGTGCTGTTTCTCCTTCATCTGGTCAACATGGTAAATTATGATAATGACTTTCTAATAACAAAGTCTTTACACTAAGAGGAAAGAAAATGTCGGCAGCGTATGCAAAAGCAGGCAACGGCAGCTTCCTCCTCCAGGATGGCTGCGCCCTTCTGCTGAGATGAGCTGACCCATCCCCCTGTGCTCTACGTACTACAAGTACTGAGACTCTGAGTTGCATTGTTGATGCTGCTCCATCAGAGCAAGCGTGGCCCGCCTGACTCCAGCTTCTGTGTTTGCCCTTTCTTTATTCCCTTGGTTTTTTTTTTTTTGTCTGGGTTCTGGGCACAGACCGGGCTGCACATGGTGCTTCATTATTTTAAAATTTGTTATTTATTCATTTTTTATATGTAGGCATGTTTTGCCTACGTTTAGGTCTATGTACCACGTGTGTGCCTGATGCTCACGGAAGCCGGAAGAGAGTATCAGATCCCCCGAGATGGGAGTTACAGACGGTTGCGAGCTACTTTGTGGGTGCTGGGAATTGAACCCAGGCCCCCTGGAAGAGCAATCAGTGCTCTCAACCACACAGCTGTCTCTCCAACCCCTAAAATTTCATTGCTTCTTTATTTCTGCCGTGTTTACCATATGTCTCTGTGGCGCATGCATGTGGCACTGTTGTGCGTAAGGAAGCCAGAGAGCAACCTTCTGGAGTTCATTCTTCCCTCCTGCCTGGGGTTCTATGGCTCAGACTCCAATTATCAAGCTTGTGTGACAAACTTTTTTTTTTTTTTTTTTTTTTTAACCAACTGGGCCAACTTTCAAACAGGAACCCCAGCACCAGTTGTGGAATGTCTCCCTAGGAGTTGATGGCTGGAGAGGTCTCAGAGGACCCTAAAAGTAGGCAGGCTATTGCCATTGCTCCTTGGTTGCTCATCAGAACCACATGGTAAGACCCGATTGTTGAAGACGCCACACATTTTGGATACAGGACACAGAGAAACTGAGGTGGAGTGAGCTGGAACCCCTGCCCATCCCGGCTAGTGTTCATTATGTTGGAAGGTGCCACGTAAGGCTGTAGGGAGAAAAACTCACCAGTAACATCACTCTGCTGTAGGTCATGTGTGTTACAGGTCTAAGCCACCAGGTGAGATGCGCCTACTGGCTCGATCATGGCACAGTATTTGGGGGTGTAACTAGCTGCCTTATGATTGTATTTGGGGCCCATTCCCAGGAGAGGGGATGCACACTAAATTCTATAAACCTAGTCAAAATCCTGTGTCGGGCGGTGATAAAAAAATATAAGCTAATAAAACTTAAGTCTAATTTAGGAAAGCTGTAAAATATCCAATCATAATTCATGTAACAAATGGTTATTCTCTGTTGAAATCATTCCATTTGGCTTCAGATTTATCTTTTACTTTTATACTTTTGTTCCAAAATTTATAAAAGCATGCAAATCTAGCAACAAAAAAAATAGTTTTTTTTTTTTTGGGGGGGAGGGGTTACTGAAAACACTCCAGTTTAGAAGATTCTGGCCTTGGGTAGTTGTGTACTGGTATGGGTTTGTATCCGAAGCACTTACGAACCCCATTCCTGCAGACATGTGAAGCTGTCTTCTCCAGGTTCTTGCTTATTCTTGTGCACACGATTTTGAGGACAAGCCCGAGAAAGTTCCTGAACCAAGAGGCTTTGCAGTTTCTCCCCTGTCAGTCTGTCTTCTCACCCCAGCATTGGTCGGTGTTGAGAGTTAACTATTAAACACACTGGCGCCGGGGACCTTGCTGCCTGCTCTTTTCAAATCTCCCAAGTCATGAGGTCACATCTAGGTGCTCAGCTCTCTTAGCCATTGCCTGAACCGAGTCTTCCCATCGTTTACTACTTTCTGTTCTATTGTTGGACCTCATTGTTTGGCTGAGATGAAATGTCCCATGTGTTTGCCCCATTCCTCCCCTTTTCGTGCATTTTGACCGGCAGCTGGGGCTCTTAGCATTTCTGCAACACCTTCCTTCTCAGCCGGGAAGGAAACGGGACTTCCATTGTTCTTTACTTAACTTGCAACTGGTCTCTATTAAATAATAAAAACATCAAGTTATTATTTACTATCAGGAGGAGGAACCTACATGTATCACAAACCTACATGCCGGACCTTAAACAAAATCTTTACATGCGTCTCACTTAGGCCTTACTAGAATAGTTGGAATCGGTCAGGAATACCATCCCTGCTTTTTCTGTTTGATTTGTTTTATTCATTTGTTCACCAAATGGTGACTGAGTATCCGCTGTGTCCTCTCAGGCTGGAGTCTACACCGAGTGGCTCTTAATTTGTTGGTTTCAACTGGGTAGATTGGCACTACCAACTTTTGAGATGAATGTCAGTGTTTTGAGAGATGCTCAGTTTAGAGCCAGTACAGAGCACCACTAGACTCTATTGAACGGCTATGCACTGTACCCGCTCTAACGTGTATGCCCACTTTGTTGCAGGAACTTCATCCTAGTCGAGAAACCACCGTTAGCTCTCAGCCCATGTGTCAGTGCAAGTTATGAGACTCTGACAACTATAGGAAAATGAGCATTGTTTTAAAGTTTCCTGTAGTGAATTTTATTGTGCTTGAGCAGTAGTTAGAGTAAAATTTGGCCGCTTTAATTTTTACATAAAGATCATTTGTTGAAGTTTTTCTTAAAGGTTTTCTTTCTCCCTCGTCTCTTTGATGCAGGTTTTTGGACTCAGCCAGGAGTGGCATGGCTCTTATGGAGGTTAACCTTCTCAGTGGTTTTATTGTACCTTCAGATGCAATTCCTCTGAACGAGGTGGTGAAGAAAGTGGAATATGACCATGGAAAACTCAACCTTTATTTGGATTCTGTGAGTAGTAAGATGCTTCATAAACCTTTACTGGTGAAAGCTCTATGTATTGCGTTTAGAGGCAGGCCGCCTATTAAAGTATTAGGTCATTATTATTTCAGCTTTTTTGATATGGCGACCATATGTTTTTCTCTATTAAAAGACATCCCTGGGACTAGGAGATGGCTCAGTGAGTAAGAGCTCTTTCTGTACAAATGTGATGGCCTGAGTTCCAGTCCCCAGGACCCCAAAAGCTCAGGTTACACTTGTACCCTTGTCACTGTGGAGGGCACAAACAGGAGGATCCCCGGGTCTTACTGGCTGTCAGCCTAGCTCCAGGTTCAGCATAAAAATAAAGTGGAGATTGATAGAACAGAATGCCTGATGCCCTTTTCTGGCTTCCCTGTGCACGGGTGATGTATCCATTCCACCGTACACATACACCATCCATATACACCATACAGACATACGGACACCACATATACTCACAAGCTTGAAAAACAGATATTACCATGACATTAGCAAGAGTTACTTTAATAATGAACCCAAGGAAGGTATTTTGAAAAAAGAGGTTAGTAATTGTTTATTGGAGTAATATATATATATATATTACTATATATATATTACTATATATATATATATATATATATATATATATATATATATATATATATATATATATATGCAGTATTTTACAAACATTTGGAAGATAAACAACTTCTTTTGTGTGTTCATTTGGTGCGCATGTGTATATGGTCTTCAGAAGCTGACACTGGCTGTCCTCCTCTGTCACTCTCCACCTCATTGTTTTGAGTTAGAATCTCTCACCCTGGGGCTTATGGTCCATGTAGACTGGCCAATCAATGAGCTCCAGGGATTTGCCTGTCCTCACGTCATAAGTGCTAAACGGCAGGAGCATGCTGTCATGCTTGGCTTTTGTTTTTAAATTCTGGAGTTCTGCACTTAGGACCTTGGCTTGCACAACTGACATGTGACTTACTGAGCCATCTCGCCTGCCCTGATGAGCAGTTTTCTTTTACGTCATCTTTCTTCTTTTGATTACCTTTTGTAAATGGAGGCAGTGGGTATCATTATGACACCTTCATATGTATGTGATTTTATGCCTTTCTTCCCTGTTGTCTTCCTCTATCCCACTGCTCACTCTAGCCAACACTCTTTATCTCACCCAATTTCCTCTCTATCTGCTTTCATTTTGCCTATACTCCGTTACCCTTTCCTCACATCAGGACCCTTTGTCTCGTTTTTCACGCCCCTCTTTCTAGTTTAATGTCTTACATCACCTCCTCTCATGCATAAAAATCTAGGATATTCAGATGAGAGAAAACATATGGTATTTATTGATCACTCTGGGTCCGACTTTGTTTAACAACAATTTCCAATTCCATCCCTTTTACTGCTAAACTGACTGGCCTTCCATTGTGTATGCATACCACACATATTCTTTATTCGTTCATCTGTTGATGGCCATCTAGGCTGGTTCCCTTTCCTGGCTGTTATGAATAATGCAGGAAGAAACATAAATGGGCAGGTTGTTGTTCCATTAGAGTCCTTTCGGCAATACTCAAGAGTGGTATGTTTGTGTCATGGGATAGCGTGTACACACACACACACACACACACACACACACACACACACAATTTCCATGATAGCTGGACCAGTTTTCATTTCCACCAGCAGTAAACCAGTCCCTCATGAGCTGTGGCATGCACCCCTTCACCTAAGGTCTCTCTGGGCTTCTTTTATGGGCCGGCCACTGTCTGCAGAGTTAGGCTTCTCTGGATCATTAGCAGTAGCTGGAATTGAGATGCACTGCCTGAGACATGGATTTGGGTGGTCCCAGGAGCAAGCTGGTCATTTACTAAATAATTCTAAATCTCAACAAGCTCTTTTAAGTAAAATAGGACTAGGAACCATTCCTATCTTTCGAGTGTTGTTTTGGAATGAAATAATATAAGTTTATAGTAAGTTCTTAACTGTAGAAACTGAAAAACTCTCCTTAGATATTAGTTTCTATTTATTTCCTAAAATGAAAGAAAATAATGTCTTTGACTTTTTTTTTATGAGTATGTAGTGTACCAACTCATTCAAATCTTTTGTACTTTTTAAGGTAAATGAAACCCAGTTTTGTGTTGCTATTCCTGCTGTGAGAAACTACAAAGTTTCAAATACTCAAGATGCTTCAGTATCCATAGTGGACTACTATGAACCAAGTAAGTGGGGTCTGGGGTTCCCAAGACTTTAGAAATCAAGGCAGGCATTTTACTCATATAAAGCGACCATCTCACTGGATTAGTTTTGAGAGGAAGAAGTATGGATGGAAGAGATGCAGGAGGCAGGCTGTCTGTAAATAAATACGACCGACAATTTATGAGGCTCACATCGCATCATTTAACAAAGAAATGGTAAAAAGTGATATTTTACTCATAGTGTTTTACGCCACAGTTACAGACTTCACAAGAAAAACCAACAGTGTCTAGTTATGTTTGGTTTCCAAGGTTTTGCTTCTTTCCAATCCGAATTCTGTCTGACCCCCCTGCTCTGAAGGGGACATTCCTTAGGAGTGGAGTAATGGCATGGGGGTTAGTTCTTCACCAGGAACTTGAGTGTTTTGGTATAACTTGTACATTATAACTTTGTGTGTGTGTGTATGTGTGTGTGTAGAAAAACTGAATGCTTGGGACTGATAACTCAAGCTTCTTTCGTTTGACTGATAACTGTAGGCATAAGGTTATTGTGTAATTCAAATGCTGATTTCTATACCCCCTATTATCTGGTTGCAGTCCTTGTTCTAAGAATCTCCTGTCTCCATGTTGTTTAAACACTGCTCCTCAATTCTCCCAGGATATGCCAACAAGGCAGCTTATAGCCAGTTGCTGATCAGGGGAGAAAAGAGGGCAGGACTTCCTGCCAGGCGGGGGAGGAGGAGTTGGAGGAGGAAATAGGGGATTTGGCCATGGGCAGATGTCCAGTAGTGCCTAGGAGAAGGAGCTCAGCAAGAAAAGCTACGAAGGGCAAGCATCTCTTGGATATACGCTAGGAGGAAGCCAAATTAGGTTAGATGGTTAAGAATAGAGTAATAACTGCTCAGTTACTATGTTATGAAACTTATTATTAAAAAAATATACAAGAGTTTCGATTATTTATGTGATAGCCAGTTAAGAGAGAAACTAAGAGAAACAAACACAAGTTTAAAAAAAAAATTAACCATAACAGGTAACCTTATTTTATAGAATAGAATTAATTGATTTAGATCATGAAAGGCGTCAGCTGGCCTAGCAGACTCCCAAGTTAATTATGAAAAACTGAACTCACAGCGAAGCTGTGTGAGTGTGCTCATGGCCACAGCGCTCACGGTGTTCAGAGACATTGGAACGCACAAGAAGGGCGAAGATAAGCATAGAGCGGGTAGTTGCAGAAAGTTTCACTGGAAATAAGGTGAACCGGCTTGCAGTTTTGGTAGGTGCGTGGTAGAGTAACCAAGACAAAGGTCTAGTGCTGGTAGTTCTCTCTGCCAGGACAGAAGCCGGGCTCTCATGTCCTCTGCTTCCAGCTACTGCTGCTGATGAGGATGCACCCAAGGTCTTGTGGGATGTTTGGTAACACAGACATTAAACCTTTTTCCTGAAGTGAAGGGACAGGATATGCCTAATGATAGTCTCTATCTATCCAAAGCATTATTTAATCTAGTTGCAAAAATCCCACAACTGATATTCTTTAGGTGTATAGAAAATATTTTAAGCATTTAAAAATGAAAAGGTTCAAGATATATATATGTGTGTGTGTGGGGTATATATATATATATATATATATATATATATATATATATATATGTACACTTTTTGTAGAAAACAACTTCTGAGGGAATGATTTTACAACGAAATTAATGAACAGAAGAGAAATTCAATCTACTAATTTTTCACAAAGTACCTGAAAATACATTTGTGGTATCAAAAAATGGTCCTTAAAAATCATGAAAAATAGAATTGTATTAAAGTTTTTTAAATGTTTTGTTTTTCATTGTGCTTTTTATAGTGTGATATGTACCATATATATATATTTAAAGATTTATTTATTTATTTATTTTTTATTTATTTATTCATTCATTCATTCAATATATATGACAGCTCCATCTGCATGTACACCTTAATGCCAGAAGAGGGCACCAGATCTCATTAGCGGTGGCTCACAATCATGTGGTTGCTGGGAGTTGAACTCAGGACCTCTGGAAGAGCAGTCAGTGCTCTTAACCTCTGAGCCATCTCTCCAGCCCCTTCCCTTTTATATTTTTAAAAATATTATCCATAATATAAATAATACCCCAAATGGAGTAGTTATTAGTTACTATGCATTCAGTGTTTTAAAACATTGAAACAGAGCTGTTTTCCTTTCGGTGAGCTTATTATATATAGGTTATTTATGCAGTACTTTAAAAATATTAGTTTATGCTGTGGAATTGTACCTGAATGAACCTGAGTGTTTGATAGCCTGTCCCTGGGTTGAATACTCTTCCCAGGAGTTCTAATGGAGTAGACAGTGCCATCCCCAAATAAACTCTTGAGAAGATTAAACGGCTCAAGATTTAAAATTCTTCCTCCTCCAGTTAGAGATTAAAGTAGCGTCTGCAGCTGCGCATGGCAGCTGCCGGCTATTTGCTGCCTTTTAGTGCAGGCCAACTGCTTGTAGATGGATTGTGCCGAACACATTGTTTCTTGGCATTTGTCTGCAGTCTGTGCCCCCCTTTGAGCATTCCATTTGTTTCTGATAAAGAAAAATAAACCGGGCGAAGAACAGCTGCCTCACGATACACTTAGGCTCAGCAGAATGACGCTTTCTCAGCAAAGGAGACACATAACCCTGATGTCTGTCTCTTTGAACAGGGAGACAGGCAGTGAGAAGCTACAACTCCAAGGTGAAGCTGTCCTCATGTGACCTCTGTGGAGACACCAGCTGCGATCCATGTGAGAATGGAGCCATGGGCTCCCTTCCGCGTTCTTCAAGCCTTTTTGCTTTTTGTTTTATCCTTCTGTACTTGGTACAACATTGATTATGATTTATTTTTCAAGGACTCCATCTAAAACTAGTATTTCCGGAAAGTCAAGTGTGATTGTTTTCTTTCTACAACTGATGATTGCTTCTGATGATTTTGAAAATGAACTGTTTCCCTTTCTTGGGGGTCCTGGGGGGAATGTCTGCAACAGGCTGGAGCTTGTGTAGGCATGTAAACCAATCTACCTGACCTCTGTGTGGAAGGTGGTCAGAATGAAGACACTTGTGTCTCTTTATTTCTCCTTGAAAATAATTTTTTAGATGCTTTTGTTTTCTCCAGAATAAAAATGTTATTTTCCATTATTCCTGTTTTGTAAAAGATTGGGAGTATGTGATGGAGAGAGGGGGAGGGATGGGGGCTTGTGCGCTTTACACAGCTTGTCCTTCAGCATTTGCTTTGGTGTCAAGGGAGCAGCAGCCGGTACTTGCTCTGTGTTCCCTCCCACATCTGCCCTGACTCTGCTGCCGGCCCATCCCACTGCCAGCGAAGCTTTATGATCGGCACATTGGTTCTTTTTAGAATGTAGGTGGTAAAATTACGAAAGCAAAACACTCTTTTTCTGCTCCAGATCCGATGACACGCCCCAGACTTTACTCTCCCCAATTTCTTTATAGAGGTATGGTGCATTTTCAATGTCTCCCTGCTCTGGGGGTGACAAGACACTGGAAACTGCCTTTAGGTGTGCTGGGGTGTACTCTCTTCTGTCATGTGGCAGTCTTGCCCTGGCTTTTCTTCAGGGGTGAGGGTTGGCAAGTCCTGTAATGTGCGCCTGCATGCCTCGGACTGAAGAGTGTCCAGGAAACACCATGGACCAAGGGTACAAGAAATACTGCCCACGTCACAGCCGACCACCTCCCTGGGTCTGGGAAAGAAGCTGAGGTTGGAGGTCTCGAAGAATCTGGACATGATTCCTGAAGTATTACAGTGCTGGCCCTGGCTTCTGTTCAGTCTCCTGCAGCCATAGGGCCAGGGCATTGGGCTGCCAAGCGTCCTGATGCTTAAGAAGGTCCCTGAATTCTGGGTTAAACTTGTTCATTTATTCGTGTGAGCACTTAAAGGAAAAGTTCTCTTCTTATCTCTTTACTCTTTTGTTGGTGGTTGGTCTGATGCGTGTTACTGGCCCATAAAATCTGGTCACATCTATCTTTGTTTTGTAAATCGGCCTAAGACATATCTGATTGGTTGATTAAACAGCCTTAGGGCAGAATGGGGTAGACGTGGCTAAGCTTCCCTGGCTTGGGGTTCAAGAGAGGATCATGGGAAACAGATGGCCCGGAAGAGTGGAAGGAGGATGCCATTGATGGGTTAGCCTGGAGAAGAAACTTCGTGGGGCCTGGAGAAAAGACTCCAATAATGGCGTGAAAAGCCCCACATAAAGAATGAAAGCAAGTATTCATAAGATTATGGATGGAAGGTAGGATGGTTAAGGAGGATGGCATTGGATAGGGGCTGGGAGATGGATGGTGAGGTGATTCAAACAGCGTAGGTAGGAATGTCTGCCCAGCCCAAGGTAAATAAGGCAATTATAAAGTCTAACAGGTGTCTGTGTCTTATTTGTGATAGCGGGTTAAGTAATACTGCCATGATAATCTTGGAGCTCAAAATAAATACTATATAGCACAACAACGTTTTAAAAATACAACACGTCTTCTCTTCCTTTCAGCTTTCCCTCTTGAGTATACTGAAATGTTAGATATGTTAAAAAAAATTAAAGATTTTAAAGAAATAAGTCTAAGAAGTGGTTTACCCACTGCCTTGGAAACTGACGATACCAGCATAACTCACTCCCACATTTGCTGGTGCGCCGGGTCCGCAGGCTGAGTACCGTGATAAGCAGTAAGTGAAAAGCATGCAGAACAGAACAGCGCTTCTGTGTGCTCGCCGCCTCGCCACATTTTGTTCCGGTTCTAAAAAAGAGGTGAAGGGTGGCTAAGATGTTACCAGTGAGTGAGATGCTCAGGAGACTTCGGCGTTCCTCTGCAGTCCACGCGCACACTGCTTTTCAAAACACTGTGGAGGCAAGATCTGTGGGTTGGCACTTTAGCCGTAAGATGGGGGGAGTTGTGCCCGTGCGGACGCAGACACACTGGCTTTCCCTCAGCTTGCTGTTCACACAGGCAATGCTACAGCCGGTACGTGGGAGGTTTCAGAACTGTAGGTGTAACCCTGGATCCTGGTCTCTTGGGCCTAAGTTTATTTTCTGTTTCTAAAATCATGCTCACCCTGCAATTTTATTGCTGTAAATATAATTATATATATACATTTCCTGGCCAATATATCATCAGCTATTTTTATTTTGATTAAACAGTTCACTGTTTGTATTTGACATTTCTGGCCGTCCTATGACATTAAAAAAAAAATGGTGCCCCGATTGCTTTTTGTCATTATTGTCTTAAAAAGAGCCAGCATTTCTCCCTTGCTGTCATATACTCTGGAGTTCTTTGTAACAACCTTCCTTTCTTCTGATTTGCATTTTTGAGCTCCTGATGCTCATATAAAAATTCTGTCTTAGGATTTTCAACTTAAGGATGATAATAACTATTATGAGTCTTTTAAGAGGGTGCAGTGACTCAAGGTACCATTGCATTTGCTTGAGGCATCTTTCTCACATAGTAAACAGGGTACTCACGGTTACTAGGCCCACTCTTGGACAAGTCTCAGAACACTCTGCGTTCTCAGCAGAAGCTCCCGTCATGCAGAAGAACTCATTGTTTTTTGTTTAAAACTCCGACAAAGTACGGTGCTTTTAAGAACTTGAACTCTCCCTGCCGTCTATGCAAATGACAGTCACATTCATATTAAATATCTTAGTTCTATTGGGAGCAGTGTAAGCTTGCAGTCTTTATTAGCATTTTGAATAGTGCATCTTTATACTACTTCAAGAAACTAAGTAAGGGGTTGCAAAATGTCATTAAGTATATGACCGTGAGAATAAGCTTGCTTAAAATCTTTTCTAGCCATGTGATGCCTTATCTAAAGTCATACTGTGTCATACTGTATTATGCCATAAAGTATATGGCTATTGTCATCTCAGTTATAAGAAGAAAAAAAAAACCCCTGGAAGAATTCTCTTACTGCAGGGCAGTTATACATCGGTACGTATTTGCCTGTAATAGAGATGGTCATATATATGGTATATATATATATACCATATATATTGGCAGATTGTAAAGAATTATCTTTGATACGGTGATGGTAAATTTTTGATTGTCAGTTCGACAGGATCTGGGAGCAAAAAAGGGACATACCCCTGGGTGGGTCTGTGAAAGCATTTCCAGAAATGACTAATGAGTAAACCTTCCTTTGAGTGGACAGCACTTTCCGGTGTGTGGCCAGATCTAAAGAGGCCCAGGGAAAGAGTGTTGCCTGTCTGCCTGCCTTCACTTCTTGCTGATTGGGTGTGTATATCCCAGTCCGGTGCTGCCACCCTTTGCTGATACCAGACACCAGTTTCTTTGGCCTTCCAGTATAACTGTTTTTGAGATGTCAGGAACCACTTACCTAGGCTTTGTAAGTAAGCCCAGTAAATTCATTGTTTCCCAAGTGAACTTTGAGAAAATCAGACTGGTTTGTCACAGGTACCTTCTGAGGAAGGGATTCAGTATTGCCTAGTGCCCCTAATCAGGGAACAATTGGTTCTCACAATGAATGGTAAATTTATTAATGTTATTGTGACTCTAATATGGTATTAACAAAGACAAGAAACCCGCAGATAAAACAAAATGTTTAAAGAATGTAAACATTTACGTTGTTTTAATAAAAATATTTGTGTGTAAAGATTGAGATGGTTGCATGTTTCTAGAACGGGGGAAAATCTACAAAGTTTATGCAGGTTATAAAAATGAGATTTAAAGATGATGTATATGGTATTAAAGTTTCTAAGGTCAGAGATCAACCATTACAAGGACTGGCTACTATGTGTGTCTAATCAAAGTTTTAAAAGTATCTGGGCTTTAAATTTTTATACAGTAGTTAAAAATATTAAACTTGTATAATTGATCTTCTAGATTTTCAATAATCATACTTAGAGGTATATACTGTGGTGGACAGAGGGATTAAAAGGGACAATATTTTCCTATTTGTCCTCTCAGCTCAGCTAAGTTTCAGAGGACTGTGGGACATCTCTCAGTTGCTCTGTAACTGTGGGGTATCACCTGCCATCTTGCTCAGGGAGGACTTGAAGCGGGCACCAGTGAACTCTAGTCAATTTCCAGTCTACAAAGATGATGGTCAACAAAGAGGAAAACTATTTCCTCTACACTTCCCAGTAAAGCAACAAGGATTTTACTTATTCTCAAATCCATGGAATAACTGGAAAGAGGAAGACTTGGGGAGCCAGAGGTTCCAAGCTCAAGTGATGCCTGGCGACCAGCTCTTCAACTGGCCTTGACTGCTGAAGTGATTAGTGGTCACCCCTGCATGGGCTAAAGCAACCAACAAAAAGAGTAACCAGGGTTAAAATGATTGGTACATTTCTTTAACATTTCAAAGAACTATACTCCACAGACATAGCTATTTCTCACTAATGATGTTCTTCTTTAAAAAATTATATATTCATAGTTCAGAAAAACAAACAAACAAACAAAACCTACAACTGGCCAATCTCTTCCAGTCAAATTTCAACCCTTAGCCCTAGGACATCCCTTTATGGCACAACCGAAAAGCGAGTTATCTAGTAACCTGCTCTGACCTCATGCCATGTCTCTCCGACTACATAGGATGAGGACTTGTAACCGGCCATGCTCTCAACTACCAAATACCCCACCCTACACTGACCTCTATCCCAGTAAAAGGAAAGGGCTATCCATAGCATCCCCTTCTTACTGGCTTTGGGGAGCCTCATGGCAAGGGCAGTCATGCTAGACATATTTTCCCATCAATTAACTTTTCTGCCTCATCAGCTCTTAGCTTTAAAGAAATTCCAGAACATCTTGACATCTTTAAGATCAATTCTACTTTTTGGACTGCTACGGTGCTTCAAAACCAGAGGGCTAGGCGTCCTTGGCTGCTGCCCACAACAGAATTCCTGCCCTCCTCAGGGAACAGACTTGTTTCTACATCACAGCAGATCAAAACTGGTTCAAGATGGGGCCCAAAGACTTAGAGACCAGAGACTTCAGCAATGAGTCCTCTTCTCTGATTGACTCCTTGTTCTCTGCCATCCTGGCTTATCTCTTTCCTTCCCTTCCTCTTTTCCTCATTCTTCCTTTCATCCTCCCTCCTTATTATCCATCATACTTAACGGTTTTTACTTTATTCGTAAACTACTCACAGAAACTTTTTTAGATTGCCTTCTACTGTCACTTGGTCTATCACACAAGACAAAATAAAAACTATGTTAGGTTACTCCAGGCCCCCAAACCCTAGGATGAGACCCTCTCCACCAGCAGGAAAGAGTCTGGAATAAACGATTCCCCAAACCCTAAGCCAAGGCCCTAAAACTGAACTCAGTTCCAGAAAGCCAGACAAAGACAAATGACCCTGACCCCAGACACCTGGTAGTTTCAAAGAGAGACAACAGGCTCTAACAGGTATGACAGAAGGCAAGGGCTCACAAGGAACCCCCAGCCATAGGGACCTGAGAACACTATTTCTGTCACACTCCAGCACATATTTTACAGGATGCCAACAGGTCTGATGTGAAACAGTGAAGTCGGCCCAACTACTGACCAAGTTTAGCCAGCTGCAGATGTTGTCATTGACGTAGGAGTTAGCATGAAGATGACAAATACATATCTCAGAATCAAGTGCAGAAATGATATTCTGTGCCTCTCACACCTTTTCTTTGCCCCATCCATTCCCTTCTCTTCAGGGTATTTCTCTGGGAGTTTTCCAATGACACCATTTTTGGTAAAGCTGCTTTAAGCTAATGTGCAACCTCAAAGCAAAGCAATGACATGGAACTTTATAACACAGGAAAAATGTAAAAGTTTATGGTAGGCAAAGAATGCATTAGAATTACCAATGACATGAAAATATTCTGCCGCTAGAGGGCAGAGGCAGGGGGTAAGGAACGAAAGTAAATCCCCAATACAAATTCCAAAAACTGAATTCCTGTTTTGAACTAAAAATAAAATGAGATCTGAAGTCGCCCCAACCCATCTTGCTTCTGTGCAAACAGATACCGTGGTTATCAAAAGCCTGTTTACTTAGATTACCACACACTGTCTAGGACACATCCTTATCTTTGGCATGTAACTTCTGCGAACTAATTTGTTATTCTCAGCGGGAAAAATCCTGCCAGAGTGTGTGTGTGTGAGGGGTGCTTTTGATTTCATAAAAATAAATCTTGGTGTTTAAAGCCCTGATGATCGTTAACCTTTGGACAGTCTAGAAATAGATATGACTGCCAAATTCCACTACCATTCTTCTAGCGTGTTTTGATTAGGGAATAAGTTACGGCAAGTGGAGTTTGACCCAGAGTTTGTGGAATTTTAATCCTCTAATGGAATCAAAGAGTCTGGGTTAATCATCTGACAAATATTTATTGCTGTCTTTTCATACCTACTTCTGCCTTGTGCCTTAACTCCTGCCTTCCTCCCCCCCCCCGTTTTTCCCTTTCCTAACCACAGCTAGAGAAAGAGTAAACTCGAAAAGAAGATGTCTGCTGGTGGCGGTTTGGCTGCCGCCAGTTTTTCCAAGGTCGGTCTTCATTGTAGGACATCAGCCTCAGACACGCTCATTAGTTCATCTGGAACTAATTTATTTGCGTAGAAACAAGAGGAAAACTCCTTTCATTCTGGAGCATTGTCTAAGTTCTCTGAGAGGAAAGAGCCTTGCTGGATTCAACACTCTATGGAAGGGACCTCCTCTCCACAACCCTCCCACTTCCTTCAAGCAAATGTCTGTGATATGACTCTCCTGGTGAGAGGCAGAAGGTACTTGGATGAAGGTTGCGTCTCCCCAGAAGGAAAGTTTACTTTTGTAGTCATATTTCAAAAAGCTGTGGGTCCTCAGGAAACCAGAAGTCAGGAGATGAGCGAGGCAGCTTGCCTTTCTATGGGTGTACCCCTGTGCTGCCAGGTGTGTGTGTGCAACAAAGCATCTGTGAAAAATGATGAGAGCAGAGGGTTATTTTAGCTTATGGTCTCAGTGCCTCCATTCCTGTGGTGAGGCAGAGAATGATGGAAGGGGCTGGTCTGATGAATTCTCATGGAATCTAGGAAAAAAAAAAGAAGAGAAAAAGAGAGGGGCCAGGGCTAGAGATATCTCCAGAAGAAATGTTTCCAATGACTGTGTCCTCCACCCAGGGCCCTCCCACTAAGATTTCTAGAACATTCCAAAATAACACTACCATCCAAAGATCAAACCCTCAGTACATGCGCCTGTGTGGGA